TCAATTTGAATGTATTAACCTTGTTTTAATGAACAAGAAGCCAGTTGAATGATTTGAGAAGGACTTGATGTGGTCAGCAACAACACTTGGCTAGACCTTTGAATTTTACCAATGCCTAATTGATAATAAAAAAAATAAATAAAAAAAAAACAGTAAAAAAAAATGTCAAGAAAATATCTATCACACATTGCAGTCTGAACTATTGGCACAAGAAAGAATGGAGAAATGCTTTTTTTTTTGTACAGTTCTGGTAGGCCCGTGTGAATTGTAGCTTAGGTTTTCTCTTCTCAGCTGACAGACATGGTGTGTGTTTAAAGATGCTCTTCTGTGGGCCTCACTTGTAACAAGTGGTTAATTAAATCTGAGCTCTGCCATCAACTAGTTATTTTTATCCACAGTACTGCCTGTTTTTTATATTCTCTGTATGGTTGAGCATTGAAGTAGATCTTTAATTTCTGGAAAGACCAACCATACCAAAGTCACTTAATGATACTGCAGATTTATGTGCCCTCCAGAAACTTGAGTTCAGTGAATGAACGTCGTCTCGTGGTTCCATCCCTAAAAGGGAAGAAATCACTTTCCCAAACTCTCACATTCAATCTGCCCAGTTGGTGGAATGAACTCCCTAACTGCATCAGAACGGCAGAGTCACTTGCTGTCTTCAAGAATTGACTAAAAAGTCAGCTATTTAGTGTCCACTTTCCTTCCTAATCTGCAATTGCCTCTCTGGCTATACCACTAACTGTACTCAAAAAAATATAAATGAAATAAATTCTTACATTACTAATGCTTTCCTTCTTAGACAGACCTGAAACTTGCCTACAGCACTTATTCATTGTTGCTCTTATAGTTGTGTAAATTGCTTCCTTGTCCTCATTTGTAAGTCGCTTTGGATAAAAGCGTCTGCTACATCAGTGGTTCTCAAAGTGGGGGTCGGGACCCCCCGAGGGGTCGCGGGGCAATGAAGGGGGGTCACCTGGTGATTTCCAAAAATCTATTTATTTATTTTTATTAAACCATAAGAATTAACATATTTTATCCATAACTATACTGAAAATAAAAACAGTTGTTTATAGTTACTATATACTATATAGTTACTATAGTAGCTTATAGTTTCTAGTTCTATTGGATTGCGACCCCTGGGGTAATTACATTATATTAAAGACAGCAATAGCGTCAGATGCATTTTGATTTTATAACATCAGGTTATACTTTCTGGCACATTTAAAGCACTGACACAAATTTAATTGGTGTGTCTGCGTCATTGCATGCAAGGTTTCTGTATTTATAACCACCTCAGAGGATATTGGGGTCGCGAGTCACTGGCATTGTTATTTTGGGGGTCGCGGGCTGAAAAGTTTGGGAACCCCTGTGCTACATGACTAAATGTAAATGTAAATCACCTTTCTTTCCCATTCTGATGCTGAGGTTGACCATAAGATTATCTTTACAGTGTATGCTTCTCAATTCTTTTTTTGTGCATCCTCGTTTTTTCCCCTCCCTTTCCTTGTGTCTTAGCTCCACTCCCTCAGGATGCAAGAGAAGGACGCTAAGAAAAGTTGCGAGGACAGAGAAATTGAATCAAGTGAAATTATAAATCCTCACTTCCTTTTGCATAATTTAAAGCATCATTATAGATCTCTGATTTTGCTTGCACATCAGGGTTCTTGAAGATAAGAGAATATTATTTATATATATTTTCAACATTCACTAAACTTTTTTTAGTTTTACTTGTTATTAATAACAATGAATTATTTCTAGTTATTAACTGCTTTGTATTTGCGCTGAAAATTATTACATCAGTATTAAAAGAACTGTGAAAGCCAGTCACATTTACCATATATTTTTTTAAATGCTTAATTATTCACAGTAATGTGTGCTTGAATTTTCTGCAGTCGTTGTCAATTCTTGGCACAGATGGAGATGGAGAGGGAAAGGAGATTTTACATTGTGCGTCACATTTAGTCAATAAACACTTCCGCAAAGGATCCTGTGTATCCTCGCTCATGACACCTCAGGAAGCCTCCTCTCACAATCCTCGCCTCCTCTGTGTGCAATTAGAGGACTGAAATGTCCTACAAGATGGCTGAGCTTGATCAGTTTCCAGGTTGTAGTATCAAGGAAGGTTAATTAGAAGCATCCAATGTCAACTGCTTCATCCAAAATTACCCCTATACCCTACATCAGTGAATTCAACACTAACTGCACCAGAAGGGATGCCATTTTGTTTGTGCTTTGATGAATAATAAATCTGTTAAACAGATAAGATTTTTATCTCCTTGGTCAGATCCTGTGACAAACTCCGCACAAAGTCTCACAGTGTTTTATGGATATTTTCTAATGGTGCCGACGATGATTCGTGATTTGCACAGATCACAACCCACTGGGTTGGGAACACACGTGACCTGTGGATTAATAATTTTTTTTTACTTATAGATTAAGCCTAAATTTGCAACGATCGCAGAGAGATCACCTCTCGAGTCATTCAAATCACATGCATGAAAGCATTTATGCTTTCCTGTAAAATATATCGATGACAGATGAAGTCGTGGTTGGTTATTCGGAATGTGGTGGGTTTCTTAGGTTATTAAAAGTGTTTTCTGTCACTACTTAGTTAGCCTGCATCAATGCATTCAGTGTAAGCTGCACGATTAATCATTAAAAGATTAAAAATTATGGTGATTTGCATATGTTTATTAATCCTTCTAATCGCTGCAATCAAATCTGTGCTTGAAAAATGCAAAAAGAATGCAATAAAGAGATTCAGTCTTTATTCTTTTAAGTTGGTGATGAAGTTACAAGCAGTCAAACAACTTGGAAGTGCTGGAATAACCGTTTATAGTTCTGATAAAACCATTGATGTTTATGGTAAAGATTTAAATCATGGTAATATGCATTTAAAGATGCTCAAAAACTAAAGCTGTAGGCAGCAATTACATTATTTAACCAATAAGTAATAACCAGTCATCAAATAAGCCACTGAATAAATCTTCAAAAATGACACTTCTAGCAATAGAACATAAGGTTTTATAGTGAATAACTGAGTCATTAATTGAAAATGAGACTAAAAATAAATATTGGTTGTGCAAATTATAATGTTAGATTTATAGACTTAGGATCATCAGCAACAGAGGTAGTAACAGTGAATTTTTCACAATACTGAATATTTTATTTACAATTTATTTTTTATTCAGTTGATTATTTCTTCATTTTAATTTTAATAAAATTACAGGTTCTAAGTTCTGTTTGTTAAAACCAAAATTTTCTTGAAGTAATGTTTTTGTAATAAATGGAAAGCAAATTACATGTGTCTCCTCGTTTTGGCTGATCCGAAAAATGGTCCGATCCATGACTAAAAAGTCATAAGGTGCGTTCGACTTCATGCAGCTCAGCGCAGATCGATCGAAATCTTTCTTAAAGCGGTGCATGCTGGTTAGAAACGTTGTCCGGATTAATGCTGTGCCGACACCACGTGACTGTCACATGTGGCATCAAAGTACCGCGATAGCGCTACGAGATCAGACGACTGATTCAGCCAGTGCAGCATTTGTAGAACGGCTGCAGGAGCTACGATGACGACACCGATATTAAATGATTGGTCGAGTTCACAGCATGACACTGGTTGTTCATGAGCACAGGCCGTTTATGCAGAAATTTTAAAAGTAACATAGATGTAGCCCTACCTTGCTCTTTCTGGCAAATTTATATCAAGTGTAGCTAATTTATTTTGGTACTTTTGTTAATTTATTATTATTATTTTTTATTTAAGTGCTTTTTTAAAAATGCTTTCATTATTTAAAATAATCTTAATCATTGTTTAAGACAATCAAAACACCTTGTTTTGGGTTTTACACTATATTGGAAAGATTTATATCTATAAATATAAACCCCTTTTAGCATATTTAAACAAGAACTGGAATAGTATTGACATACCATTTAACATCTAGTAGCCCAAAGACTGATGTTTCAACTCCTTCAATTTGTGCTTGGATATTTTTTTCCTTTTTATTTGCTCTCTTGTTTTCACCCTTATTTCTCATGCGTTTGTTATATAGGCTACATAAATTTAATTCATAATTCCCCTTTTTTTAAATAATCTATAGTTTGTAGAGACTTTACTCTGTTTTAGTTCTACTGTAAATCTTTTGTTGTTATTGCAATAAATAAATTAATGTGATCGTCATGACTGCAGCAACTTTGGGCCCCGAAGTGTCCGGCTTGACGGCTTCGTTTTCAACTCCACCCCTGCCTGCACTCGGCTAATCTCGTTGATTGCCGGCTGCAGCATTGCTTCATGTCGAACACACTTATAATGTGATCTAAACCGTGAGATTTGTGATCCGTTACACCACTAGAATTTTCAAGCAGTTGAGTGTACATGTGTTGTACACTTGTTATTGCAGTGCATTGTGGGATTGATTCAGTGCACTTCAGAACATTCACTATGGTTTCGGACACCACTAGAAATGGCTGCATTCTCAAAAAGTGCACTATTTAAGGGTATGGGGGAGGGGGGTGATTGTGGATACAATCTTTGTGGTTAAATGCACATAGTTAAAGTTGCTGCCACATGATAGGCTAATTACATGTTTGCATAAATAAGCTGTTGAAACAGGTGTGCCTAATCAAGTGGCCTGTGAGTGTATGTAATGCTATGTTTTAGTGCCTTCTTTTTGCCTAGGAAGTATTGTCATGACATGCTCTTCAATTTCCTTTGAAACTGTTACTTTTTGCATGGTAGTAAAGATTTGATTTAGATAATGATTTGTAGTACAATAAAAATGCACATTTAGCTATGCACACAAGACAATAATTGTTCATTACCTCAGATTTATGTAAACCAGCATTGTTTTTTTCTTCTTCTGCGAAACACAAAATATTCTAAATAATTACGTCCTATAAGCCATAAGTGAATAAGTCCTTAACAAGTTTTTGGGTGTTATTTTGCATACATACTACAAAATATAATTCTCACACGCTCTCTCCTTGCTTCCATCTAGTACTATTGCTGTAAGAAGGAGGAGTCGGAGTCAGAGGAGGAGGAGCCTGACTTCGCCGTCACGTCTCGTATGCCGCCGGTGCATTCAAACCACAACATCCTGGCAGCCGCGGTTCCTACAGCAACCACCCCCAATGGCCCTGCCCTCTTTACCCCCCCACCGGCTCGAAAACTGACCCGCTCACAGACATACTGTCCATCCTGCACACATTACGACCTGCCGTTTTACCTGCAGCAGCCAGATGGCCTGCGGAATGGCGGCGAACGCATTAGCTACCGCGGAATGCATCAACAGGATTTGGGTCTGCCCACTCCGCTGCCTGTCCAATTGCCTACCCCTATACCCACCCCACTGCACAGCCAGCTGCCAACGCCACTACCCAACTACCACAAACTAAACCTCAGCCGCTCAGTCACCATGAGGGAGATGTTCACACGAAGCTGCAGCATTAGCACTGACGTTTAGCTAGCAGGTATGCTAACCGCTAACTGAAACTTTAGAAACAACTGCTAGAGTGCCGAGCATTCAGAAAGATGGCCCAGTGTGTTCAGGAAATATAAAGGCAAAGATGGGGTGAAAACAGAGATTTGGAGAACCTCCTTATCACTTGACCTCAGCTTCACTCCTGAATCCCTTATTCTGTTTTCAGTAACTGGAAAGAAGATTCACAATGGGACACCCGTTTTTATGCTCTCCTTACTTTTTTCTGAAAAGACGCACCAATACACAGGTACACTGGCATCTTTTTCAGTATACGGTGTGAAACGAAACTTTTGTATTGTTCATGTAGCTCGAGAAATATTAGCAAAATATTAAGTGATTTAGCCAACGATTTTGTTTTATCATACATAGAATGAAAAGCCCTAAACGGGCTTGCAATAAAACTACTAGATCGAAGTGTGCCATCAGCAGACAACAACATGATGTAGGCGCTCGATTACTGAGGTAACAAATGGGATGAGAGGCATTATTTTATACTGAAGTTATTAGTTTACACGTATGATTCTATATATTGATAGATGTTTCCACAATTGCAAGCTGTTTATTCTTTTAGATGTTTAAATGATTTGTTCAACCCAGGCTCATTCTGAAAACGTACCTCTGTATACATTTCTGGAGAGCGCCAAATATATCCCTGGAGCTACATGGTTTTGCAGTTTTTGTTTTTGTGAATCCCTGAGAGGCCACTGAGATCTTAAATTTCACTCGCGGGTACCTGTTGTTCTTGTGTAAATCTATTAGATGACGCTGTGAACACTTTTTGAGATCCCAAATTTCTCTTGCGCCTGTTGTTCTCATGTAAATCCACCAGAGGCCAATGTCGACTGACTGTTCGACTGACTCAAGTACTGACTGACCAATTGACTGACCCACCCTCTCCTTCCCTAAACCAGGCCCGGCGCTACGGGCGGGCAAAAGGGGGCATTGCTCCCTCATAAAGAATTTGTGCCCCCTCAGTTTTCATAAAGGATTAGTTTACTTTAAAGTGAAAAATCTTACTGTCATTAATTACTAACACTCCCGACATTCCAACCTTCAGAACACATATTTAGATATTTTATAATATGAAAAAGCAATTAAGTCATGAAAATTGTGAAATTAAAGCAAAGATCTGGTCCCCTTGTCAGGTCAGGGTGTACCCATGTAAACACGAACGCGACAGTGGAGGTGCATTCTAAACTCACATGGAAGAAAACTGGACTAGTGGACGACATAAAGACGAGCAGCCTAATTTATTACATGTTTTGGTTAAGTAACTCTTTAAATACAACTCTCTTGACCTCTTAAGGGAAGAAAAGCAAAAGAAATTTGCTGTTCAATTAATTTTAGCAGAGATGTAGATGCTAGTCATTTTTACATTCGTTTTTCATTTAGGGATTATTATTAGAGTAGCCGTAGTTGGACACTGCACAGTCCCACAGTAGTCTAAATTATAAATAATATTATAATTTATTATTCATTATTATAAATATTGACAAAACACAGAACCTTTTTGAATGTTTGCTTTCATTTTGGCATCGCCTAACCGCACTGTTCCAGTTGTGAAAAGAAAGCATCTTAGAAAATGCGAAGTCAAGTTTACAGTATAAACGCAATAGGTTTATGGTGCGTGATGGCGATTTGCCACTGATCAACCTCTCACATACGCTGCAGGCTGAAGGATAATCTTTAAAAAAAAATGTAATTTAAGCTATTGTGCTATTTTCTCATGCAAAATTAAACACCATAAAATATATTGTTGGCCTATTTTAACAGCTAAAATACAGTTAGCATATCGATTTTATTTTGACATGTAGCTCATGGCCATAAAAAATGAAAATGTAACCTGATCACAAGTAATTAAAATAGGCTAAATAAATAAATAAATAAAATGACGAGTAGGCCTATTTGCCTAATGGTTTATGGTGGCGTTTTTACAAATGCCAACCGGTAAATTTCACGAAAAAATAAAATAAAATTATGATAGCCTCACATAACTCTTTGTTTTTACCTTTACCTTTAAACTATTACATTATTTGACATTAAATGGAAATAAATTAAAATAAAATATAATTTAAACCACTTGTTTGGCACTGAAGCCATCCGTCTGCGTTTTAAACAGTATCGGTGCATAACCTTTACTGACAAAATAAGTAATAACGAAACTGCATATTATTACCATAAAAAAGTATATTACTGCCAAAGTATTAATAAATAAGTGAATAAATAGCCTAAATGAAAGGATCAAGTGGGGCCAAAATTAGTTACCAGGGTCCTCATGTACGAAGACTAGCATTGAATTCATACTAAAACATTTTAAACAGGGGTTTTGCGCTCATGCATGTGCACTCAGTTTTACGTTAGGTCGGATCTACAAAGAGAATATGCGTGGGATTCTGCGTATGCAGAGTTTCATACATCTGAATTTTTACTGCGTACGCACAAAGCTGTAAATGTGAAATAAAAATTCAGATGTATGAAACTCTGCGTATGCGGAATTCCATGCTTATTCTCTTTGTACATCTGACTTAACATGAAACTGAGCACACATGCACAAGCGCAAAACCCCTCCCTGCCTCCTTCCCCTAATAAATATAGTAACTAAACTTTTGCAAAACCAAATGAAAAAGCAATGGCAAAAGCATGCAAAAATCCACCAGAGACAATAAAACTAAAGAGAGCGGATATCAGCAGCATGGCAACATGTTTTGACAGTATCATTCATGAACCCGGTGTGTATTATGTTAAGCGCATTTGAGCATCACATACTATTTGCACATTTATTAAATGGAAATGTTTCCGATTCACATAGCCTGTGCTAATTCATCTTCAGATGGCGTCTTTATTGCAATGTGTGCAGTAGATCACTCCCATTACATTGGGTAAACTGGCGATCGCTGCAAGTTGTGCTTTAATGTCGGCTGGTCAACTGTGTTGTATGGAAACCCTATATACCTGCTGGACATGCGAATGATCCCGTCCAATACAGCTGCCATTGCACGGCTCAAAGATACTTTGTAGTGTGCAATTTAACACTATGGCCTCTATTATTAAAATGCCTCCTCATTTGTGACATCCTGGAGCCGGGCCTGTCCTAAATCCAACTGATTTTAAAAAGCAATTCAGAAGAAGAAAAGCCCTTGTCTGATTTTTACGTTTTTACCACATTCTCACCCTGTTATTTACCTGGATTCTATTTTATGGATTCTGTTTTTGTCTTACCTGCTCTCTGGAACCGTTCTTCACCGGACTCAAACCCTGTAGTCGTGGTCAACTCCTCTCTGCGTCTCAAGTCCACCAACGTACATGGCGAGCTACTGGACAAACTGATAACAGCAAGAAAGCCGTCCATACAGAGGTAAACGGTGAGCTGTAAGTGAAACAAGGAAAGGCGTCATACCGCTCGTTAGTAGAGATCTGCGCGAGACTAAATTTTGAATCCCGCTCCCACTCCCGCCAAGTTTTAGCCCGAACCTGACCGCTCCCGCTTATATTCAGCATTTGTTGTCTCGTTGCCCGACCTGCCCCGTTTTCTACCCGCCGCGCCTGTTCCCGCTAATGAGTGGGGGGAGAAAAAAAACGAAAACCACCCAGCTATACAGAGTCTAGACAGCCAAACAAGCTGTCTGTATAAACACACACACACAAAAGCACCAACCAAGTGACACACACAAAGGCATCAAGCTCTTTCTCTGTCTCTCTCACACACACACACACACACACACAAAGCTCTCTCTCATTCATGCACACACACAGCAAACAACAACAAACAAGCTAAATGCAGCATCACGCTGTCCCATTCACACACATACATACGCGTGCTCGAGAGCGAGCGAGTCGGGAGCAATATTGTTAGACCTGTCTAAAATTAAACCAGGTACCGACCGCTCCCGCGCTTTATTCGGAAATTTATTTCTGCGCTGCAGAAATCTGGTCGGCTCCTGTGGTACAGCCTCGGGAATGCAGACTACTCTGTAGTGTTTGTTTTAAAAATTAAATGCAGCCATACCTGTCCTTGGCTACATAATTTGCGATCTCCAGAAACGTATACAGGGCTACATTTTCAGAATGAGCCTGTATGTTGGACTTGTTCTTATCTATCTAAAAAGGGACACGTGTTTGTTTTACTGTTTTATTTTACAAACCTGGATGTGAGAGGGACGAAGGATGCGGATTCTCGAATTCAAGGGCTACATTTGCTCTTTCTAAACGCTGCTTGTTGGACTATGAACAGAACATCTTCTGCCAGAAGGCTTTTCTTTTCTATCTCTTTCTCTCTACTCTACATGCTTACAGAGGCATCAATTAGCCTATTTTTCTGCGTTGTTAATGTGAAAACAAGTGGGGCTTTACACTAACTTTCTTCTTTTTAATAATGGCAGTTATTATAGAGAGTATTTGTTCTGTTTCTAGCCTGTTTGAAAGTGGTATTTATCTCTCGCTGAGTGTGTTGCCGCACATTACAGGTGACTTTGTGATCACCATGTGGTTGTGTTGTGATTTCAGATTTCTCTCCTAGCTCTTCTTTCACTCATCGGGACCTGTTTCAATCTCACGCTGTCTCTCTTATGTGCGCACATACACGTTCAGTGCCTGTTAATACCAACTCTTTTATTATTATTATTATTATTATTATTATTATTAATATTATTTCTTATTTGTTTTGCATCACTGCTTTATTACAGTATTTTTGTTTCATACATAGGTAAATAATATTGTTTCATGTTTTAAAGTGATGCCGAAATTGTTCCTGTAATTGATAATGCAACTAAGAATAAAATGTGGATAATAAATTGGTTGAAAACATTTTGGCATGTGTTTTTTAATAGGTGAATATGAAGTTTAAATCATTGTTTTTATGGAGTTTTGGGTAAAAAAAAAAAGTTTTTATTACATTTTAGTCAGGGTTTTCCTGTGTTTCTCATGTTTAGAAATACCATAAATTGAAATATACTTATACTCTTTAGCTGAAATATAATTATATTTTTCATTAGCACCACAGAATTAAACGTCAGTTTGGATGTTTTAACACCATTTTAACATTCTGCTAACAGAATTTTAGCAATGCTATCCAATTAAATCCATCAATCAGCTTATCATAAGTATGTTTCTATCATGTTTAATGCATTGGTAGATTGAATGTTGGTAGGTATGCATGTTTCTAACATGTTAATTATCTAGTATGACTTGCTATCTTACAGTTTTTACAGAATTTCATAATTAAAATTCTCATTACTCCTTGTTCAATCTTCACATCATTGTGTTAGTTGTGCACATCAAAAAAGCTGTTTCGCATTACTTTGAACAAGTTGCAAATGCTTGCATACATCCATGTAAAAGATTATGTACTATTCTCTGCTCTCCAACATTATCGATTGCTTATGTCATGTTGATCAAAATGTTATATTTTGGTCTCTGTCTGAATAGTTTCACCCTCCATAACAATTAATCATTAGTTGATGGCATACATTTTTACATGCAAAACTGAACAAGCTGTCATAATATTTTGTCAATGCAGTTTTCACCTCCATTAGACTTTTCTAAATCTGTGTAAATTTCTCTCAAGTGCATCTTGACTTTTTCTAGTGAAGGTGCATCTAAAAGGAGATTGTCATTTGTTCACATTTCTACTTTTGTTTTGGTTTTCCTTGTGATTTGCAGTGCTGTTTTTTCTCTTCTGTATCACAATGACATGATCTGCCAACAAATTACAGTGCAAACAGCAAAAAAAATAGCCATAGTTCACATCAGGACACCCTTCCAGAGTACACTATTACAGTTTTTCTCAGTCACTTTGGTGCATTTCTCATAACACTATTTACATTTGCCTGCGGAACTATGTCTAACTTTACTGTAGTTTTTGTAAATGGCTATGTAAATAGTATATAGTGCTGTCTTGAGCATTTTCAGGACATGTCACTAAATCTGTCTTTTTTGCCTTTGGAAGAAATGTCCAGAGTAAACTGTCATAATGAAAACATGACAAAGCCAAATGAATATCTTGTTCACAAACAATGGTGTCAGCACTTTTAATTTTGATGACACTGACACTTTGATTGACATGAATACTTGCTTTAGAGGAATTAGCTATCCATTTTGAGCATGTGACGCGCTTTTGCAGGTTATCAACTTGGTTTTGCAGTTTGTACTAATTGTTTTGAGAAGTGCATTGACTGTTGTGCAGAAATGCACTGGTGTTGTGAGAAACGCACTAAAGTGACTGAGAAAAACTGTAATACATCTGCTAAAATAGCTTAATCATGCCTGTAACAGTTAAAACTTGTTATTGTAACCTTGTATGACCTAAAAAAATAAATGCTAAATCATGGTAAAACAGTGTTAAAATGTTCTAACAATGTGTTAAACGAACATGCTAGAAAAATGCTATAACAATTTTTCTTAGTTGCTTTGGTACATTTTTCAGATCAGAATTGAAATTTTGCAAAACAGTAAGTGCATTTCTCAAAACAACACATACAAATAGCAAAATACCATGAATTACCAGCAAAAGCCAGTCTCTTGCTCAAAATCCTTCTTACAAAACTAAATTTGTTTGTCCATGAATGTGTCAGTGCCATCAGAATTAAAAGTCCTTGTGTCGATGTGTACCGATAAGACAGTCAAATTACTTAGTCATGTTGTCGATTTACAGTTTTTCTCAGTCTTCTCTGGTGCATTTTTCACTACACTATTTACATTTGCACAATAGTTAATGCATTTCTCAAAACAATTAGTGCAAACTGCAAAACCTAGCTGATAACCTGCAAAAGTGCATCACATGCTCAAAATGGATAATTCATTCCTCAAAAGCAAATATTCATGTCAATCAAACTGTCAGTATCGTCAAAATGAAAAGTCCTGACACCATTGTTTATGAACAAGATAGTCAAATGGCTTAGTCATGTTTTTATTATGACAGTTTACTCTCTACATTTATTCAATGCAAAAAAAGTCAGATTTTGGTGACA